AATGCATGCTCAATCAGATTCAGGTCCGGTGATTGACTTGGCCATTGCATAACATTCCACTTCTTTCCCTTAAAAAACTCTTTGGTTGCTTTTGCAGTATGCTTTGGGTCATTGTCCATCTTCACTGTGAAGCGGCGTCCAATGAGTTCTGAAGCATTTGGCTGAATATGAGCAGATAATATTGCCCGAAACACTTCAGAATTCATCCTGCTGCTTTTGTCAGCAGTCACATCATCAATAAATACAAGAGAACCAGTTCCATTGGCAGCCATACATGCCCACGCCATGACACTACCACCACCATGCTTCACTGATGAGGTGGTATGCTTAGGATCATGAGCAGTTCCTTTCCTTCTCCATACTCTTCTCTTCCCATCACTCTGGTACAAGTTGATCTCGGTCTCATCTGTCCATAGGATGTTGTTCCAGAACTGTGAAGGCTTTTTTAGATGTCGTTTGGCAAACTCTAATCTAGCCTTCCTGTTTGTGAGGCTCACCAATGGTTTCCATCTTGTGGTGAACCCTCTGTATCCACTCTGGTGAAGTCTTCTCTTGTTTGGTGACTTTGACACACATACACCTACCTCCTGGAGAGTGTTCTTGTCAGTTCTGGCCAACTGTTGTGAAGGGTGTTTTCTTCACCAGGGAAAGAATTCTTCTGTCATCCACCACAGTTGTTTTCCGTGGTCTTCCGGGTCTTTTGGTGTTGCTGAGCTCACCGGTGCGTTCCTTCTTTTTAAGAATGTTCCCAACAGTTGTTTTGACCACGCCTAATGTTTTTGCTATCTCTCTGATGGGTTTGTTTTGTTTTTTCAGCCTAATGATGGCTTGCTTCACTGATAGTGACAGCTCTTTGGATCTCATCTTGAGAGTTGACAGCAACAGATTCCAAATGCAAATAGCACACTTGAAATTAACTCTGGACCTTTTATCTGCTCATTGTAATTGGGATAATGAGGGAATAACACACACCTGGCCATGGAACAGCTGAGAAGCCAATTGTCCCATTACTTTTGGTCCCTTAACAAGTGGGAGGCACATATGCAAACTGTTGTAATTAGTACACCGTTCACCTGATTTGGATGTAAATACCCTCAGATTAAAGCTGACAGTCTGCAGTTAAAGCACATCTTGTTTGTTTCATTTCAAATCCATTGTGGTGGTGTATAGAGCCAAAAATGTTAGAATTGTGTTGATGTCCCAATATTTATGGACCTGACTGTAGATCATAGGTCTGGTTGCATGAGCACAGAGCAGATAGGCTGACTCTGACTTTCAATGCCTCACCACAGTTCCTGCTTTTAAAAAGTTTTGTTTCAGGCTGGCTGGACAACAGTTGGAGGATCTCCCCAGAGAGATTCTGCGTCATCATCACCCACATGAAAGAAAAATATATCTGAAATATATTTTGAAAATATTCTTCCCAAATATATTGACTTATATTTGAAATGCTACAATTTTGACCATATTAAATATATTTATATATACACACTGCATGTTGAAAATGCATTTTCATTACAAAATATATGAAACATACTTTTTAAAATACATTTAATATATACTGTATGTCTTTAAAAATACAAATCTACATTTTTGGAATGTATTTACAAATATATGTAAAAATATATGTTAAAATGATTTTTTTATATGTTAAAAACAATCTGAATAATATATTTTAAAAATATATATTTTTAAAAAATACATGTTTTTAAAATATATTCTTCAGATTTTTTTTAGCATATAAAAAAGTCAGTTTAACATATATTTGTAAATGCATTCCAAAAATGTAGATTTCTATTTTCACAGACATACAGTACATTTAAAATGTATTTTTTAAATATTTTTTGTATATTTTGTAATAAATAAGCATTTCAACAGTGTATATATATATATATATATATATATATATATATATATATATATATATATATATTTCCATATGGGCAGGGGCCCCTGTAACTGGCTTTTGCTGCAACATTTATCCTAGATTGTAAGCTCGAAAGAGCAGGGCCCTCAATCCCCTCATGTTTTGCATTGTATTGGTATTGTTCTGTCACATGTTCTGTCCCCCTTTGTAATGTACAGCGCTGAGCGAACTATTGGCGCTTTATAAATACTGTATAATAATAATAATAATTTATCTGGAGGTATCTCTATTAATAACTATATATGCCCTGGTATATGTTCACAATTACACCAGGACTCCTATCGGGCCCTTTGCTGGTAATACCTGTTTGTAAGTTGGATGTATGTACTGTTATTAACCTCTTCCTATATTTTTAAAGTGAGAAATGGGAAAATATCTGAGAAAACAAATTTGCTCAGATTGTTCCAGTATGTTTTAGCAACAATTTACCTGCAGAAAGTAATCTCCTCCTTCACACTAAATTCCTTAGTGCAAAGAAAGTAAGTTCATGTTAAAGGTGTTGGTCAGAATGCACTCAAAATGCTGTTGTATTATTTATAATTTGAAAACAGTTACATGAGAGCTAAATGCTTGTTGTGTAAAACACTGCATGCAGCTAAATGAAAGTTCTATCTGTTCGCCCAGCAAAGTTGAGCTGTTACAGAACTAGTTAACTTGAAGTTGATTTATTATTTAAGGTTGCTGACTTTTCAGTTCTGTCTTTACCTCTGAGAGTAAACTCATACATCAATCAGAGAAGAAGCTGAGAGAGACTATTGCTAACAAGTTCTTTTAAAAGGCAGCTCCTGAGGGTGATAAGACTACAAAAATGGTGAGGAGTAACATTAATTCACTTAGGAGGAGGACAAAGGAAACACCATGTAAGACTTCTGAAGCTCACCTCTGGTGAGTGACCTCACTTAACAATTCAAAGTGTCATGTTAGAATTCACCAGCAAACTCAAATACAGCTACATGTGTCAATCTGTATGTACTTAACTGGAGCAGCCATCTGCGGGTTGGGTATTCTAGTGACTATCACAGGGAGGGCCTAAAGGAGAGCCTATGCAAAATGTATCTGGTTTTTTAAAAGTACAAGAGGGTCTAATTTATAGAGGTATTATACTCTCCCCTTTTTAATTTTTTTTTTGTCCCTTTTACTATGAGAGTTGAGTTTTTCCTAAAAAATAATCAGCCCGGCATATCGAGTGCTGTTTCACCACCCACACACCACCATCTTCTCTTCCGACATCATCAATAGGCTGGCTATCTTTTCAGGGTTCTGAGATTTTATTTGTGTGTTTATTTTTTTATACGTCATTTTTAAAATATTGATATTTGAATGTTTGTGTTATTTTTTGTTATGTGCTATACCTCAAGCTACCCTCATGAAGTCTGTTTCTGATTGTTTGGTCAAACACATTCACACCAGTGGTCTGCTGGAGGACATTTTGTAGGGCTCTGGCCATGCTCATCCTGTTCCTCCTTGCACAAAGGAGCAGATATCGGTTCTGTTGATGGGTTAAGGACCTTCTGTGGCCCTGGCCCTAGTAACTGCTTGCCTCCTAGAGTAGACTGCTTTCTGGCAATGGCACGTATGGATGTGCCGTTCTGGAGGAGTTTGACTGCCTGTGCAACCTCTGTAGGGTCCAGGTATCGCCTCATGCTACCAGTAGTGACATTGACCCTATCCAAGTGCAAAACTGGCAAAAAAAAGTCAGTGGCCTCCACCTGTAAAACCATTCCTGTTTTGGGGGTCCTCCATTTTCTAGAGAGACTGTGCTGGAAGACACAGCAAACCTTCTGGCAATGGCACGTATGGATGTGCCGTTCTGGAGGAGTTTGACTGCCTGTGCAACCTCTGTAGGGTCCAGGTATCGCCTCATGCTACCAGTAGTGACATTGACCCTATCCAAGTGCAAAACTAGTGAAAAACAGTCAGAAAAAATTAGTATGCAAAAAAAAGTCAGTGGCCTCCACCTGTAAAACCATTCCTGTTTTGGGGGTCATCTCATTGTTTCCCATATAGTAAACCTGTTGTTAATTTCATTAACACCAAAGCAGCTGAAACTGATTAACAACCCCCTCTGCTACTTAACTGACCAGATCAATATCCCAGGAGTTTATTTGACTTGATGCTATACTCTGATTAAAAAGTGTTCCTTTAATTTTTTGAGCAGTGTATATGTGGGCACTAGATCTGCTACATTGTGCAAGGGCTGGCCACAGAGTAACATCGTCAAAGACAGTCCAAATACAGCTCATTAGGACTCATGCACACTGGACATTTCTTCAGCTGCTCCTTGGGGTGCCTGGTGTTTTTTTTCCTGCCTCTAAATCCCCTTGCATGTTAGCCTATGTGTCCATGCACATATGGAGGGATTTACTAAAACGTGAGAGTACAAAATCTAGTGCAGCTCTGCATAGAAACCAATCAGCTTCCAAGTTTTATTGTCAAAGCTTAATCTAATAGTTAGAAACTGATTGGCTACTATGCACAGATACACCAGATTCTGAGTACTCTAGTTTTAGTAAATCCTCCCCATAGGCTTAAGCATAGTTGTTTAGAGGCAGGAAAAAAAAACACTGCCAATGCATCCAGGAGCAGCAACGTTTTTGCATTTGAAGCTTGTAAACGAATATAATCACGTCTAAACAAGTGTTAATGCTAGGCACGTTTAGCACTTGAGCGCTGATTATTTCAATGGCCAGAACAAATTCTTATTCTGGTCAATTAAATTAATTAACACAGATGTGCTTGATGTGGCTAAATGCACCTAAATGTGGTTAACACTTTTACAAGCAACAAAATAATGCTGTAAGGAGGAAAGACATGTAGGAGAGATATAGGAATGTCCTATTTGCATGAGGTCTAATACTTGGCCAAGTGTTTTATATATATATATATATATATATATATATATATATATATATATATATAAAAACACTTGTACTAGTATTGTTTGCTCCATAAGATGCACTTTTCCTCCCCAAAAAATGGGGGAAAAGGTCTGTGCGTTTTATTGAGCGAATATGGAGTGGCCGGCCAGTATTCCCGCAGCTGCTGTGTTAGAATACCAGGGTGGCGGCTCGGCTCTTCTGTGCAGCAAAACCTGTTTCTCGGTCCTACCTGTTCCTCATTCCAGTGGTGCCCTCACCGTCTTCACTCCCTGGCGCTGGCATCTTTAGTGTGGGCACCCGGCTGTGACAGCTTGTGGCTTCACAGCTGGGTGCCGACTGCGCATGCGTGAGAAGCGCTGGGCTTTGTGAATGGTCCAGCAGTCTTCTGGGACCTGTCATGTGTCCCAGAAGATCGGGAGGGAGGACAACTCTGCAGTATCGGGAGTGGGTACCTGTCAAATTCGGGAACCCGCTCCCCCCCTTCCGCTCCCCAAAGGTCTACAGTCTCTGGTCATCTCCTGTACTGTGTATGGAGTCTCTGGTCATCTCCTGTACTGTGTATGGAGTCTCTGGTCATCTCCTGTACTGTGTCTGGAGTCTCTGATCATCTACTGTACTGTGTCCGCAGTCTCTGGTCATCTCCTGTACTATGTCCGCAGTCTCTGGTCATCTCCTGTACTGTGTCCGCAGTCTCTGGTCATCTCATGTACTGTGTCCGCAGTCTCTGGTCATCTCCTGTACTATGTACGCAATCTCTGGTCATCTCCTGTACTGTGTCTGCAGTCTCTGGTCATCTCCTCTACTATTCCCACAGTCTCTGGTCATCTCATGTACTGTGTCCGCAGTCTCTGGCCATCTCATGTACTGTGTCCGCAGTCTCTGGTCATCTCCTGTACTGTGTCTGCAGTCTCTGTTCATCTCCTGTACTATGTACGCAGTCTCTGGTCATCTCCTGTACTATGTCCGCAGTCTCTGGTCATCTCCTGTACTATGTCCGCAGTCTCTGGTCATCTCATGAACTGTTTCCGTAGTCTCTGGTCATCTCCTGTACTGTGTCTGGAGTCTCTGGTCATCTCCTGTACTATGTCCGCAGTCTCTGGTCATCTCCTGTACTGTGTCTGCAGTCTCTAGTCATCTCCTGTACTGTGTCTGCAGTCTCTGGTCATCTCCTGTAGTATGTCTGCAGTCTCTGGTCATCTCCTGTACTATGTCCGCAGTCTCTGGTCATCTCCTGTAGTATGTCTGCAGTCTCTGGTCATCTCCTGTACTATGTCTGCAGTCTCTGGTCATTTCCTGTACTATGTCTGCAGTCCATTGGTTTATAATATTTTTTTTTCCTCCTCTAAAACCTAGGTGCGTTTTATGGTCAGGTGCGTCTTATGGAGTGAAAAATACATAAATATATATCACAGCAGAACAAGCAGCAGGGTATGAACAGTGCTAAGTCTTCTGCAAGAGTGGTATTGACTCTGAGATCAACAAAGCATCTTTACCTTAAGTATTTAGCTATGTTTATAGGTTGTGTGCAGGAAAGTGGGGGGGGAGAGGCTTCATTTTGAAGAGCACATTTCTATTACCTATGTATTAAAAACCAGTCTATTTGTTTTTAATCAGTGGTGATTATTTTAGAAATACAGAAAACTTAATAAAAATTGCATTTACGCCAGAAGCCTTTTCACTACAGTTACAGAAGATGTCTCTGTGTAAATAAATCCGATTGCTAATGAAGGCCATAATGCAGTCTGAGATCTCAGCTAGGAAAGGAATTTGGCCATGAACAGTGGAGTGGATCAGAATGCATTACCATTCCTAGCCATCTTTTTCTCAGCACACTCTTCTTGTTCTATATGCATGAGATATATTTCTGCCTAATTGCTGTGGAGCTCTGCTGGGCAACACTGCCTTTAACATCCTACAAAGTAAATCATCCCGCACTATTGAAAGTGTTTGTTCTTCTCATGTCATTTAAAAATAAACCATGATGGACTACTGCTTTAGGTGACTCCTACAATTTGTCCTAGAGTCTCTTAAATTAAGATAAAAGGCAAAGGCAAACAGGTTAGTTTTACATATCAAAAAAGGAACTAAGGGGAAAATGCATTCCAGCTTTTGACAGACTGTTATGTTGTGATTTATCTGGAACAGAAAGCACTGAGCTTAGCCATTCCCCAAAGGACCAAACCACAGTAGTCATTGAATCATCGTCAGCCTCAGCTTATTAATCAAGTATGAGTTTAGGAATACACTGGAGTGTTTGGGGAGCATACTGGACTGTGCAGTTTAAAGAAGCATATCAAAGCTAAGTGTTTGGACAGTGATGGTGCTTGAGATTTTACTCAACATGACCCCCACCAACTGCAGCTATAAAACTCATTCAGCTCCCTAATTTGCTTGCCTCGGCTTCATTCAACTCTTCACATTTTAAGCACAGTCTGCAGTGACAGGAAGGGGCTGTGCAGTGTGCCACTTCTGTAACACATTGTTACACTTTGCATGTCTTGCTACATACTTGTGATGTTCCAACTGACAGGTGCATGTCCTAATAAGATCTACCGGGGAAGAAATTAGTCCACAAGAGAGCCTCAAGCAATTGAAGCATCTGGCAGGAGGAAAAAACAACTTCTTGTACTTCATATTCTGTCAAATGTAATTAGACTTGCCAGAAGTCATTGCTATCAGCATTTAAATAAGTTTCTCTGATCCTCTCTATCTTTGGAAAGTCAAAACTAATACTGTGAATCATAAGAAACATCATTACTAAACACATTAAAATTTTGATAAACTGCTTGCTGCCCATTTTGTTAATATGTAATTTTAGAGATGTCATTATCAATTAGCACTTTATTGGCTCTTAGCACTGCGGCACAAAATGTCACATTTTGTACTATTATTGATGTATACCTCTGCCAAACCTGTGCTAAATTTATTATGCATCAAGCCTAAAGAGAGCTCTGCGTCTAGTGGGATGGACTTATCTATTTAATAATACTGGCGTTTTGTGCTTTTGGCATGTGCCGTCTAGGCACCCCAGAGAGAACATATTAAAGGCGTCTGCAGATAAAATGTCTTTTAAAGATGCTCGTTTTGTATGCTGTTCTGTAGTCATTGTTGTTCTGTTATTTGTGTCCTTTTAGGAATTGGTCGATATCCCCCCAAGTTTTTTTTCATAATCATTTGTAAATGGTTGTTCAAATTAGATTTTAGTCAGGCAAAAAGACCTCCAGGCCTTAATGATGTCATACATTGTGCTTTTTTTCCTGTAACAAGCTATTTTTTGTTGTTATATATTGTTGTAATACATTTTTATATACCATACTTAATGAGTTTTGTGAACCCTTATATATTATTTGTTTTTTTTTTTACTTTTGATACCCAGCTCAAGTATGCTTCCTCCATATACAGCATATAATATAATATAATAATTATATATTTACTTATCTAAGCAATTCTTTCACATATTTGATGGTGGATATTTAGTTTTTTTGCACTCCTGTCACTGGTGGACAATGTGAATATGCTATTCCTACCTTTGGCATATGATGGTTTGTCTTGTGGCTGGGACTTATCATTATTAGAGATGAGCGAATTATTCAAAAATTTGATTCGGCTGATTCGCCGAATTTGCGGGAGAAATTCGATTCGATGCGAATTTATTCGCCGCGAATTTAACTTATTAAAAGGGTTTCTAGGCTTCAGAGAGCCTTTATATTAGTGCAGAACACTGTACCTTTAATTTAAATGCCCTTGGAGTCTGCTGGGGAAGAGAAATAATACTGTCAGTCAGTATGACATGCAGATGAGTGCCGTCGATCTTAGAATCACCGCACACTTCACTCATTTGGGCAGTCACGGGGCACGACGAAGAAGAAGAAGAATGAAAAGAAGAATGAAAAGAAGAAGAAGAAGAATGAAAAGAAGAAGAAGAATGAAAAGAAGAATGAAAAGAAGAAGAAGAATGAAAAGAAGAAGAAGAAGAATGAAAAGAAGAATGAAAAGAAGAATGAGAAGAATGAAAAGAAGAATGAAAAGAAGAAGAAGAATGAAAAGAAGAAGAAGAAGAATGAAAAGAAGAATGAAAAGAAGAATGAGAAGAATGAAAAGAAGAATGAAAAGAATAAGAAGAATGAAAAGAAGAAGAAGAATGAAAAGAAGAATGAGAAGAAGAATGAAAAGAAGAATGAGAAGAAGAATGAAAGAAGAATGAGAAGAAGAATGAGAAGAAGAATGAGAAAGAAGAATGAAAAGAAGAATGAAAAGAAGAATGAAAAGAATGAAAAGAATGAGAAGAATGAAAAGAAGAATGAAAAGAAGAAGAAGAAGAATGAAAAGAAGAATGAAAAGAAGAATTAAAAGAAGAATGAGAAGAATGAAAAGAAGAATGAAAAAAGAAGAATAAGAAGAATGAAAAGAAGAATGAAAAGAAGAAGAATGAAAAGAAGAATGAAAATGAAAAGAAGAAGAAGAAGAAAGAAAAGAAGAATGAAAAGAAGAAGAAGAAGAATGAAAAGAAGAATGAAAAGAAGAAGAAGAAGAATGAAAAGAAGAAGAAGAAGAATGAAAAAAGAAGAAATGAAAAGAAGAATGAAAAGAAGAAGAAGAAGAAGAATGAAAAGAAGAAGAAGAAGAATGAAAAGAAGAATGAAAAGAAGAAGAAGAAGAATGAAAAGAAGAAGAAGAATGAAAAGAAGAAGAATTCCAGTACAGCAAAAAGTGTATCTGCAGAGAGCTCCGCTATTTCTGACAGTTCTCTGACAGTTCCTTCACATTTACAGCGGTTCAAACATTGTATCTATTTATTTCCGAATAAAAACATCTGTATCCTAAATGGAAACAAATAGATACAATGTTTCAACCGCTGTAAATGAACTGTCAGAACTGTCAGAGAACTGTCAGAAATAGCGGAGCTCTCTCTGCAGTGACACTTTTGCCGGCTGATTGGGGAAAATTCGATTCGTGCATCCGAAGTTTGCTAAAATTCGGATTCGATGCGAATCGAATTTTTCCTAATATTCGAAATGAATTCCACTTCGCCAAGTTCGATTCGCTCATCTCTAATCATTATATTGGTCATGCACCTCGGTCTGTTCCTGCCTCCTGGTGGCAGAATCAGAATTTGGGTGATACCATGGGGGTGGAGCCCCCGCCCATCTCTTACTTTTGTTCTCCATCTGCAAATAGTGAATGAAAGCCCTTCTGTATATGCAATTGTAATGGATCATATTTGCAACCTTTTCACAATATTGTTGTTATTTGAGACCCCTGTGTGGGTCCATGATCCTGCTTTACTTCATGGATGTTGTATTCATTAATGTTCACACAAATTCTACTTTTGTATATTGATGCGCCAATAAAGCTCTTTTGGTACCAGAAAACCCTTCTGAGGGTGCCTAGTGGTAAAATGAAACAGGAACATGCTTTTCTTTGCCACACAGCCACCATCAGAGTCATGCTAATCCTCTCCTGCAGCACTGTTTCCTGTAAAGCGGTGGTAAACCACCCCAAAAAACGTCTGGTTCGGCTGCATCTTTATCTGCTGGAATCAATCTGACAGGACTGAGTACTGCCTACTACTATATAGTGCTGAGGAATATACTATGCCAAAAAAAAATTAGATAAAAAAAAAAATTATATACTGTATATATATATATATATATATATATATATATATATATATATATATATACAGTATATATATATTGTGTATATGTATGTATATATATATTTTTTTTCTTTTACAGGATAGATAGATAATGTATATATATATAAATTTTTTGCTCCACGATCAGCTTGCAGGGACTCAAGGTGCATCTGTCTACTTGTACTGCCTGCTGCAATAAATCTGTTGAGACTGAATATTTCAGCTTGCTGAGACTTATACATAAATACATCTATTTGTACATGAGGAAACTTTTAACCATCAAGCCTCTGTCATATAATGTACAGCGCTGAGCAAACTGTTGGCGCTATATAAATACTATATAATAATAATAATAAAAATACAAAATTTGTCCCCGTAGAGTCTTTATTTTATGTTTATTATTTCTTTGTCTTATGCAATATTTAGCAGTTATTACTGAAT